ATATATAATATATGATATATTTAGATTCAGGAAGACTTGGTATGCTTGCTGGAATGAGAAATGCTGTTCAAGATGGTGAAATACGTGAACTTGGTAGTAGTGATGATGAAGGATGGCAAGAAAAAGAAGCATCAAGAACGCATTCTGTCAAGTTTACAGATGAACCTCCAGAAACTGATAAGGAGGTGAGCAAAATATATATAACAAAACCTCTTAAATTTTTTAGATTTACTATATCTAAATTCAGATTATTATCAGGATATTTAATGTGTTGGAAACGTTATTATTCTTATGACTCATTATATTAAAATTATAATAAAAAGTGAATTAAGAGTGTATTTTTTTTCCTAACCAATTTTTTCTTGTAATTATATATAATACAAGATAATTGCACTTATTTCAGACACCTTTTGTACGACAAAATACACCTCATCCCAAAGAATTGAAAGCAAAAGCTCATAAATTATTTAATAAAGGAAAAAATGACAGTCGTTCAGCATCTACAGATGAGCAAGTAATTAATTTAATTTTTCAAAAATATTATATATTATAGATATCTTTTAATTTAAGAAAAAATTAATAATATTTTTAAGGATGTTTCTCAAACATTTGGTTTGGACAAAACTGAAACTGATGTTTCAACAAAACCTAACGATTTAACAGTTGATTTGATAGAACAAGAATCATTAAAACATGAATCTATAGAAAATGAACAAAAAGAAATTGTACCTGGAGTAGTAACTGATGATACAGATGTCCAACCTAGTAATGAAATAGTTTCTAATCAATATATAATAGAATCTAATACTGTATGTATTTATAATAGATTATTATATTTATTGATTAATTTATTTATTTATGTTTATCTTTGTTTTTTATTGTAAAAATTACTTTTTAGGACATAAGAATTGAAAGTTCAATATCTGAATCAAAGGATAAAAATGATAAGGAGGATGATGAATCTGAAAATGAAGAAACACAAAGACATGTAGAATTTTCTATAGCTGAAGGTACAGATTATGATGGTAGTGGTGATTCAAATAGACCAAATAGACTTCATCGTAGAGATACTCCACATCATTTGAAAAATAAGCGAATTCATACAGCAGTGGATAAAGAAAAAGTAGCATCCATTATTGCACAAGTAATTATTATCTAAAAATATTTAAGAAATATATTATATTAATACTTATATAATTGATATATTTATATATATAAATATATGTATTACCAATTATAATTAATTAAAGACAAATTTTATACAGTTTTCATTATATGTTAGGCACTCATGAAAAAAAATGATGAAATTTCCACATCCACGTCAGCACCTGCAGAAACTACAGAAAATTTTGACACTCAAAGTCAAGGTAAGACATTTATATCAATATCACATCACCTCCTTTTATATCACTTTTAAATCTTTTCTTTAAATATAATATTTTTTTATAACATTTATTCATTGCATATAAAATAAAATATTTTAATAATTATTTTTCCGTTGTAAATTGTATGGTGAATCGTTTTAAACTTTTTGATATCATTACTTCATAATCACTAACAGCAAACAATCCATGATAAGATATTCTTTTTCCATTAACTATCTTATCATTTATTCAGTTATCTATCTGATACAACAAGACATATACATGCATAGAAAAAATTGTAAATATTAATCAATTAAAATTAATTAATATTGAATATTATATTAAAAATATAAAAAAATATTA